GTCTTTCCTCTTGGCCTTGTTTAGCAGGGAGGCTACCGCCCAGCGAGCTACAGGCACCTCTTGCGGGAACTGCGGTCGAGGCGGGGCGAGGCGGGAGGGTGGGAGGGAGGGAGGGTGGGCAGGGGAGAAACATACGACGGCGTGAGGCGAGTGAAACCGCGCGCACGGCAGGCAGAACAGGCAGGAGGCGCAGCGGACGGGGGCATAGCCACACGCGGCTGCAGCCGGTCGCGGGCGGCTAACACCCGCGCACGCACGCACGCTGCCGCCGCGCGCACAACATTCCACGCACGTTCCGTGCACAGCGCGCACAGCGCGCGGCTCACCCGCGTCAGGTTGTGCGGCACCCAGGCCGCCGCCTTGAAGTCAAACACCCGCACCGCGGTCGGCTGCAGGCGGCGCAGCCTCAGCAGGCGCTGCACCGGCGTGTCTGGCCCGCCGTCGCCGGGCAGCGACGCGCCCTCGGGCTCGACCGCGGGCGGCAGCATGCCGTCTCCGCCTGTGGGGCCAGGGGCGGGGCGGCGGGCGCGGCTGTGGGCTGCCGACCGGCGCGGCAGGCAGGCAGGGGCAGGGGCAGAGGTGGCGGCGAGCAGGCGGGGTGGGCCGCGCAGGTACCCTGGCAGGCAGGCAGGGGGGCCAGGGCGGGCAGGGCGCCCAGGGCTGGCAGGCAGCCCAGGGGAGGGCGCGCGGCGGGCGTGTCGGCGGGCGTGGGCCCGCCAGCTGCCCGCCCAGCTGCGCCGCCCGGCTGCGCCAGCTACCCACGCACCTAGCAGCCACCATTGGTCATACAGTTGGACGCTGAGGGCTCCCGCATCCTTGTGGCCGGTCCACACAGCCTCCCTTCTGCCCGCCATGCCCGCCCCTCCATCCGCCACCCCCTCCCGCAGGCTGCGCCGGCTGGGCGCGCCCGAGAACCACCCTCGCAGGCCCGCCAGAGCGCCCAGCTGGGCGCCCCGCCCCAGCTCCCTGCCGCCGTCCTCCGCCTCCTGCTGCTCCCTCCGCACCGCCAGGTGCATGCGGTAGCTGGTGCAGCCGGTGAGGAAGGCCACCAGCAGGGCCGCCGCCAGCAGGCGTGCCAGCTGACTGCGGTGGCGCCGGGCCTTGGGTGGGTGCCGCGCCGCATGCCCCAGATGCCTGCACGCCGGGCGCCGGGACCCGCGAGATGCACATCGGCACAGCTTTGAGTGTCGGTAGGAGGGGTTGCGGGCAAAATAAGCTGGGCCGGGCAAAAAGGCGCAACACATGCAAGGAACCAGATGCCGCAGCCCAGGCACGCTTGCAGCCCCCACCGAGATCTCAACCCTGCACACAGGAACTCGGCAACCCTCCGGGGCGGAGCCGGCGCGGTAGGCGTCAACGATCTGCACCTCACCTGGCTTTGGGGCTCCATGGCGACGCCGCGCTCAGCGCTTCCTCCTGCAGCCTTTCTCGCTCCCAGGTCGATGTCCGGTATACCATTTGACCTCCAGACGTGGTTCTCAGGAGCTGTGTCCCCACTCCCCCAAGGCAGCCCACACTCAGGGCAGCCATCTGGGCGCTGTAGACCCCTGTATCATCGAGCCATGGCTGTGTGGGTGCAGGTCATATTACAATTGTGCCACAGGAGGCCGTGGGAGAGTTCTGGGCTTCCCCCCCGACTTTCCAGAGCCAGCCACCGCCGCCTGCGATGCCTGGGCTACTGTCGAGCCCCTGATCGACCATCTGCATGGCAATCGAAGGATGGGTTTGTTCTAGTTATACTGCGTGGAGCCCGGACCGGGCCTTTGGCGTGTAGTGGCGGCAATGCTGACGCAGGAGGCGACGGCAGCTGCCTGCAGGGCCCCATGTGCACCTTGCTTTGAGCAGCACTCCCAAAGCCCCTCTACCTCTATATCCCGTCCCCCTTCTCTCTGCTACTTCCAGCTGATATGTATATGCCAAGGGCTGCATGCAAACGCAGCCCCCTCGCAAATGTATTTCTTCTGCGAGTTGGTGGTCTGCGAGGCTGGGCGTCGGCGCACACCGACCTGCTGCTCGCCGTGAATCGAGGCCACATATGCCTGCATGAACCAAGGCCAGATATGCCTGTACTCGGTGTCAGAGACTCACGTGCATGGGATCCCCAACACGGCCTGGTGGCTGGCAGCGGCCTGGGTCCGGCATTGCCAGCAGCACAGCTCACTTCTCATGTGCGTGCCGGGGCTCACACTCCAACTCCTCTGCGTTGCACTGTGTTCAATTCATTCTCTTTTGTGGGTACAGGCCATGGTGTGACACGGAAAAAGACTCCTCCAGGCACGACAAGCACCCCGCCAGCGGGACGCGGCGGGCATGCCGCCCGCTGTGCGACGGCGCGCGCCTTTTCACGTGCAGGCTCTCATGGGCCGTTTCAAGTACAGTTTGTAAGCACAGCTCTCTGTTATCTCCCTTCGCAACGCTGCCCAGGTGCAAAAGGTGACCATCTGTGCCGTTGTGTGTGTCGCGGCTGCCTGCCAGCGTTTGATGTAATATGCACAAACATGAGGCCCGCCGGCCAGCGCACCCGGGGGCGCCCCCCGCCATGCATTGCGACTAAACCGTGGAGCCCTGGTTGCAGATTCCGTCCAATTGTTGTCGGGACTTACAGCTGAACAAGGCGCCGACCAGGAGAGGCATTGTTTGGTGCGCCGCCGCCGCCGCCGCCGCTGCTGCTGCCTGGCACACGGCTGCTGTCGGGATCTGCCCTCCTGTCCTTCTGACTGTCCTGCTTGGCCGCGCTATGCTGCAGAGCCATGGGTTCGTCCGGCAAGAGCAAGCGGACGGGGTCAAAGAGCCGGGGGACGCGGCTGCACAAGCGGGGGCGGGTGGCCAAGTTCACTGCCCGACACGTGGACCAGGTGCGTGGGCTGGTGGTGTTGGGGTGGGGCATGAGTGTGCTGGTGGTGTACGGCATGGGTTGGAGGCCACGGCGCCACCAGGTGGCCGCACCCGAGCACGCCCACATTGTGTTTTAGGAGTGCCATCCACTGTGATTGTGGGTCACCCCGCTAGCCCAATGGATTTGTGGCCGGTCGCTGATAGCGTTTTACTCCGCCGCCGCGCCGCGGGCAGGTGTGGGAGGACGTGCGCAAGGAGGGCGGCGTGCACGACGGCGCAGTGGGCCCGCTGGGCACCACCGACAGGTGCGGCAGCTGCATATGTGTGTTTGCATGGTGGTGGGCATGCCCCGCTTCGCTGGCGCTTGGTGGGCGAAGCATCCCCGCGCAGCGCCAGGTGGATCGGCAGGAGCAGCGCCGCGAGTATCAGGCGGCAGCGGGCGGCCATTGGGCCACTGGCTGGCCTCCCTCGGCTGTTGCTGCTGTCACTTGAACCGCTCGCCCGCCCTCCTACCGCACATACATGTGACAGGGACACCAACGCACACCACCATTCCCCGGCTGCTGCAGGGTGGAACTGGATGAGGACCTGCCTGCTCGGGGCCAGCACTTTTGCATCGCCTGCTCCCGTTACTTCATCACACAAGCGGCGCTGAGGACGCACGAGAGGAGCAAGCCGCACCGGAGGTGGGTGCCTGGTGGAGGGGTGGGCTGACGATGGGGGGCGGGACAGCCACGCCCAGCCCTGCACGCCGCCCGGTTGCCTGGCTGCGCCACCCACTGTGCGCGCTGCCTGCCCGCCTGGCTGCCTACAGGCGCGTCAAGGAGCTGCTAGGGGCGCGGCCGCACAACCAGGGGGACGCAGAGTGGGCGGCAGGCGTGGGCGCACCAGACAACGGACAGCGAGGCAGCGGAGCGGCAACCATGGCCAGCGATTAGCTTCTGACCAGCTCCTGCTACCAGCTTTGTTTTGGACTATTTGTTCCACTAATCACATCTTCTGGTAAACCCCTGGCCCACAGCGAGAATCCAAGTGAAGTGGTCATTTTTTCACACAAGTTGTTGTGACACACATTGCTGACAGAATAACACCAGACTAAACGAACAAACAAACAATTGATGATGGCTCGGTATCGGTATTGATTATGGGCACGCAGCATTAATGATTCGTGGCATTGATGGCGCGGCGCACCAGAGGGGGGGGCCGGATCCTCACGGGCAGCCAGCACCACAGCGCTGGCCCACGCCTGCCGCCGGCCCGCGCCGCCCGCTCGCCCGCGACTCCCACTGTTCCGCATCCGCCTGGCGGCTCGTCTGCACTCGCGGGCCTGCTGCTTTCCTTGAGTGCAGCTCAGCCAAACAGGCCGCCGCCCATCTGCGGGGGGCGGGGCGCGCAGGGGTGGGTGGGTGTGGGGTGCGGGTCAGGGCGAGGCGCGTCGGCAAGATGAGGTGCCGGCCTGTGAGCACAGCCAGGCCGCCGACAGGCGCAGCGAAGCAGCAGCCGGACGCTGCATTCGCAGCCGCGGCACGGCCGAGCTTCGACGGCGCCCAGCGGCAGGCAAGCGCCTGCACCTCCTGCGGCTGCACCCCCCCGCGCTCCACGCACCTGCGCCTTCTCTTTGTTGTAGGCCTCCCAGTATTGGTAGAGGATGGTGACGGCCAGCAGGATGCCGGTGCCTGCGGCGCCAGGGAACGCAGGGCGCGCGCAGCGTCGCGTGGCGGCCAGCACGCTCGCCAGGCAAACCCAGCTGCTGCCGCGCCTGCCGCCTCGCGCCAGCCAAGGCCGTGCCCGGGGCCGCCACCCAGCGCAGCCACCCCCAGCCCAGCCCAGCCACCCACCCGAGCCGATGGCGCCCAAAAAGTCGGCGACAATGGTGAGGGCGCCGATGCACATGCCGCCAAAGGCGGCGGCGGTGGGGATGTACCGGTTCAGCTCCTTCTTCAGGCTGCTCACGGTGTCGCGGTGGCCCTGCGGGGCCGGGCAGCAGGGGGGGCAAGGGGGCGCAAGCGGGGGTGCGGCATGGGTCGAGAGGGGCAGGGGTGGCAAGGGGGGCGACAGAGGCGCCGGCAGGGGCAGGTGGGGCAGGAGGGGCGGCAGAGGCAGGTGGGGCGGGAGGGGCGGCAGGGGCAGGTGGGGCAGGAGGGGTGGCAGCGGCGGCGACAGAGGCGGCGGCAGGGGCAGGTGGGGCAGGAGGGGCGGCAGAGGCAGGTGGGGCGGGAGGGGCGTGTTGTGGTTGGGCACCCCCAAAGGGCGCGCGGCCTCACCGCCAGGAAGAACTGCTGGTCGCGCAGCTGCTTGGCCACGTCGTTGGCGCTCTGCCCAGACACCTCGATCCAGGTGATGGAGAAGATGGCGCAGACTGGCGCCAGGGGGGGAGGGGGGAGGAGGGGCAGGGATGGGTTGGTTGAAGGTTTGGTGCGCCGGCTGGTGGGGGATGCTTCGCGTGGAAGATGTCGCGCGGTGGTGTGTGGGGGCAAAGCCCGCGGCGACCACAGCGCTGGAAGGCAGGGCTGGGCAGTGAGGGCCCCGGGGGAGGTCGCCCTGCAGCTGGCCTGGTCACCCTCCAGCTGGCCGGCGCCCCTCCAGCCCCCCCCACTCACTGCCCAGCATGGATGCCAGGCGCCCCTCCAGCCCCCCCACTCACTGCCTAGCATGAAGGCCACGTAGAAGAGGGTGTGCACGGGGTTGGCGGCGGCGGCGGCCAGGGACTCGGGGGGCGAGATGTAGTAGACCAGGCCGCCCACCGGGTTCATCTGCCCGCTGAACTCGTCGGCCTGGGCACGGAAACAAACAGGGGAGTGGAGGAGACAGGTCAGGGAAGTGAACAAGAACAAGATGCGTGGGAGGGCAGGCAAGCTGTAAGTGGGAGGCAGCGGTCAAGCGCAGGTGGTTGAATTGAGGATTGAAAGCGGCACGGCGCAGGGCAGTTGCACCAGCCGCCCCACCCCACCCAAGCGGCCCACCGCCGGCCCGCGCCCCACCTGCCAGCGCCCCAGCAGCTGCACCAGGATGTTGGCTCCGTAGCGGCGGAAGAGCAGCTGGGAGATGAAGTACAGGTTGGACACCAGGGCAGACTGCAGGAGGGGAGGAAGGATGTGTGTGGGAAGGGAGGCGGGTGTGTGTGGTGGGAGCGGGTGCAGTGTGGGCGGGCGTGAAGCCAAGGCGCGTCGACCGGCAGGGAGGCCACCCAGCCATGGGGCAGGCCACCGCGGGCTGAGGCGGCTCCGGCACCCGCCAGGCCACGGCCAGGGCGTGCCTGCAGGATGATGGGCATGTTGGAGGTGTAGAACAGCTTGATGGGGTAGGCCTGCAGGAGGGAGGGGTGGATGCGGGAGAGAGCATGGAGGGACCAGCAGGGATGAGTCGCTTCCCTCCTGGAAACACGTGTGTTGCCTTGGCAGCACATTGCTGTCGGACTAATGATCAGACACCGACATGGGCTGTTGGCGCGCCGACCAAGGCAGCACGTCGGGCTTCGGGGGTCTGGCCGGCCACTGGCGGCCCACACAAAAACACACCTGGGTGGCGCCGATGGTGCCGCGCGCGCGCTTGGACCGGATGGGCAGCTCCACGCGGAAGCCCTGCAGGGTGAGGTGGGTGGCGGTTGTGTGAAGAAAGGAAAAGGGGGCTCACGAGAAGTGCCAGCAGGGAAAAGGCGGGAGATGGCCGCGAGGAGCAGGGGTAGAATTGTGCATAGCGGGGCAGGCAACAACGTGGCGGCACCCTGGCAGCCCTGGCAGCCCCCGCCAGCCTGCCTGCAGTCAGTCAATCAGTTTACAGCGCTGCAGCAGCCATGATGGTGCCACAGATACGTCGCTTCAGAAACCGTGTGGGCAGAAAAGCCTGCCTGCCCTCACCTGGAAGTAGACGACCATGAGGAAGATGGCCACCGTGGCCAGCAGCTGCATGATGTTGGGCAGGCCCTGGCGGTAGAAGGCGTCCTGCGGCGGGGAGGAAAGAACCAGGGGGGAGGGGGGGCAAGGGATACGCAACGCAGTAAAGGGACACGCAGTAAAGGCCAGCCACCAAAGTGCAGCGGTGAGCGGGGCGAGAGGCGGGGCGGGAGGCACCAGGCCGACGGGCTGGCGGACACAGGATGTCCAAGCTCTGGTGCGGGGTGCAGCACTGAACAAGGTGTGGAAGCACACACAGCGCGCCCTTCCTGCCCGAGCTCGACGCCCCCACCACCCACCAGCCCCCGCCCGCGAGGCACCCAACGGCCCCCACCTTGAGCGCCTTTGTCTTGTCGGTGCGTGAGAGGAGGAAGTGGACGAGCGCGATGACGGCGCCCTCAAACTCGGGGCCGCGGCCGACGTTGAGGGTGTAGGGGCTGCGGGGGAGGAAACGAGGCCCGGGTGAAGGAAGGAAGCAAGGAAGAACACCCCGTCCTTCCTAAACGTCGGCCACCCAAGCCAAGCTGCAACGGCCCACCAACCCGTTTACTGGCAGCATCCTTCCAACTAAACGCCGGCGGCAGCCCCCACCCTCTAAGTGCAACCAGCCCACCGGCGCGCCCTTCCCCTGCACCCCACAGGACCCCCCGCCCACCTGAACGCCTTCCACACGATGCTCTCGCAGATGTTGGTGGCGATGAAGAGGGAGATGGCGGAGCCCAGGCCCCACCCGTTGTTCAGCATCTCGTCCAGGAGCAGCACCAGCACGCCAGCCACAAATAGCTGCAGGGCGGGCGGCACGCACGCAGCCGCGCGGCGTGGGCTGTGCCGCATGGCAGTACATGGCAGTACAACACTCCACAGCCCCGGCACACACACACCATTCCCAGCACAGGGGAACACAAGGGGGCGGGGCGGGGCCACGGAGCGGGCGGCGCCCGGGCGGCACCTGCAGCACGATGAGGATGGCGTTGACGGTGCCGACCTCGCTGGGCTCGCCATACATGCCGGTCAGCACGTACACAATGGCCTGCCCCACGGTGATCAGCAGGCCCAGCACGTGCTCGGCGGTCTTCCTGCGGAGGAGGGGCCAGGGAGGGACGCGTGGGGAGGGCGGTGGGAAGGCAGCAACGGCTTTGAGAACTTTTGTTTTTGTGGAGAATCAGGAGGTGGGCAGGCGGCGGCTACTCACTTGCACCCACCGTGCCGCTGCACACGTTCGCCTGCGCGCGCCTGCCACACCCCGGCACGCTCGAGCCCCCAGACCGCCCCACCACACGCACGCACGGCCCCCGCCTCACATCAGGTCCCTGTCGCTCTTCACGTTTGTGTCCACGTCCAGGATCTTGGAGCCCACCAGCAGCTGGATGATGAGGCCCGCCGTCACGGTGGGTCCAATGCCCAGCTCCATCACCTGCGGGCCACCACAGCGGCGGGGCCAGCGGGGTTGGGTTGCGGGTTTGCGGGCAGCGGGGTCGCCCGCCCCCGGCGCCGGCGGCGGCATGTGTGTGTGTCAGGTTGCTAGCGGCAGGGTGAGCAGGCATGGGTTGGGAGCGGGGCGTCCAGCCAGGCAGCGCAGCTAGCACGGCGCTGCTTGAGACCAGCGCCGCGGCCGTCAGCAGCGCCAGCATCCGTGGTGGCATGCGGGGGAGTGGCCTTCTGTGGCCCCATCCATCACCCGGGGCGGCGGCACCACTACGCACTGTGCTGCTCCCCAACAGCATGAGCCCACAGAGGGGCGCTGCGGCGGCGGCGGCACCGGGGCGCACCGTGCCGCGCGACGAGGCCATGATGACGCGCGCCCAGTACAGCGGGTCCGCCCCGCTGGTGGTCTTCACGCCGTACAGCGGCAGCTGGGAGCAGACCAGGAAGATGGCCAGGCAGACCAGCGTGTACAGCAGACGGTCCCTGTGTTGGCGAGGAAGAGCGGCGCATGCTAAGGTGGAGCGGGCGGGCGGGCGTCGGCAGGTCGCCCACCCACAGCCGCGTGCAACACAACCGCCAGGTTGCTGGTTGCATCCAGCGGCTGCTGGCGCGTCAGCACGCAGCGGCTGGGCTCCTGCCAGGGGCAGCAGTGCAGCCCCAGCCGCTGCGGCTGGCAGGCGGTGGGCGTGCGCCAGGTGATGGACGCCGGCTGGCCCAGCTCCCCGTCCGACACGCTGTCCCGCCCGCACAGAGCCGCCACTCGCAGCCCAGGGCAAAGGTGCAGCGCCGCGGGCCTGATCGGCCCGTTGATGGGGGGGCGGTGCGGCCAATGGGGCGTTTTCCTCGCCATCGGCGACATCTGCCGGCATTGACCGCACCTGAACATGACGCGCTTCTGACCCGAGCTGGGCTCCTCCACCTCGGGCAGAAACTTCTGCATAGGGGCGAAGAGCTGGAGCACCCTCATGAAGGCGATCTGTGACCCCACGAAGACCGATGTCGGGTATCGGGGTTGGGGGGAGTCGAGTGAGTGGCGGGAGAAAGTCGCCAGGTTGGCGCCTTTTGCTCGCACCTCTGCCACGTGCACCCTTGCCCACCTTAGGGCCTGGACGCCCTCATGCGTGCATGCCCGCCAGCCGCTCGATTCACCCATTTTTGTACACTCATTGGGCTCTTGAAAAGCGGGCCAACACGCCCTACAAGTGTGCAGCGAGCTCCCACCACCTGTCAGTGGGCGCAAAACCGCCTGAAAACCAACTTCACTCGCGGGCCACGTGCCTTGATCGCATTCCAATGGTGTTAGAAAAGGTTTGGACGCACGGGCGGACCGGGAAACGCCTCCCTGCAGCTTGGCATTTTTGAATGGCGCCCTGCAGCTGGCGCCCACAGACTCTTGACTACCCCCTCTGCAGAATGCTCTCCTCAAGCTAGTGGTTACAATCATGCTCACAAATCATTTAGCACTCTTGTCACCGACAGGGCCGGCCACCGCCCTCCCCGGTCCAGCACTTAGGCAACGTGAGCAGCTGCCGGTGCCGGCGCCGTTGCTGCATGTTGCTGCTGCAGCCCAGCTCCACCCATCAGTCTTCTTCTGCTTCACTCCACTGCAGGCAGGCAGCTTTCCCTGAATAGCCGGGTTGCACAGGAGCAGGGCGCAGCCCCCGGCTTGGCTTCACGTGCGAGCCGCTGCCCCGCCCTCGTCTGGTTCCCATACGACAGCCCTCCCCACTCACATTTGTCCCACGCCTTCTGTTCTGTCTGCAGTG